TTATGCTAAGCAAACCTTTAAGAGTTTTGGACAAATTGACTATATTATTCTTTTAACAATTTGACATAATATAAATATTGCCTTGCAATAATAATTGTGTCTTATTCTTTCTTATATGATTACACTTTGAAATGTATTCACCTGTGGTACACTGAAAAGCATTTCACTTTTATAAGGAAATGAATCAACATTGAGAATAACCTTCAAAGTTGTGGTAAAAAAAGGATTTTCAACCACTGTCTTGAAAAGAATACAGGTTCCAGACTTACACAAGCATAAATGTAAATATGCCAATGGACTTCCTGTGGTCAATAAACATAAAATAGACACCACATCCTCATTTGTAGAGCATTTGATTCAAAATATGTAGCCAAAACCCTTTTTTGGACAGCGTCCATATTGAATTTAGGGAATTTGGGGGGTCCTGATATACCCAATCATAAATATAAGTATTCCTATGGGTTTCCCATGGTCAAAAAAGGTCAAATAGACATCAAGTTTGTATTTGTATCTCATCTGGCTCAAAAGCTATAGCCGAATCCCTTTCAGGCGGCGGCCATATTGGATTTGGCCGCCATCTTGGTCTCAGGGACCATTGGCTTGGGCGCCCTACCTAAATCATTTCAGTATGCTCAGCTACATCTGTGCCAAATTTGGTGCTTGTAGGTGAATTTGCGTGAATTCCGAGCAGTCCTATTCCTATGTGTTTCCCATGATCAGTTAAGCTGAAAAACATATCAAGTTTGTATTTGTAACTCATGTGGTTCAAAAGTTACAGCCGGAACCCTTTTCGGGCAGCAGACATATTGGATTTGGCATGATAGATGAACCGACCTCTCAAAAACGAGAAAAGAAAATGGACTTACCAGCACTGCGACTCCTTCTCCTCCCTGAGAACCGTAAGTGGCTGGGATACCTGGCCTGGGGGCTCCGGAACGGAAGCATCACCCTCACATTCAGCGAGCCCAAGGCGCCCACGGAGATCATAGAGGAACCAGAGCCGAAGAACATCAAGGCCCTGGAGTCGACGCAGGTAGGTCAGTCCACCTCAGAGCCAGGAGCGGACCTTGACCTAATAGACCTGTGGTCCGCAGATCCAGTTCCCTCCCAAGTCCCCACCCTCGAGTCTTCATCTTCTACACCGGTCCCGTCCGGAAGTCTTCTGCCCGCATCCCTGCCTGTTGTCCTCATCCCATCTCCATCGCTGGTCACGGCCAGTCCCCTGGATCCGTCGGCACCACTGGTGTGGTCCAGCTCCTCGGCTCTGCCCCCGCCGCTCACTCCGTGCGGCTCATCCTCTGCGCCTCGGGCTTCCCGAGCTGCACCTCAGGCCTCCAGGTCCATACCTCCACCTTGGCCTGTCACCCCGTCATCATCGCCTCCGCGGCTAGACTGCTCCGAAGCTCCGCTGGGCTCCCTCGTCTCTCCAGCTTCCACATCGGACTTCCGGGATTCCGGCTACGACTACACCCTGCACCCCTACAGCTTCATCGGACTCCTCGCTTCCTCCGACCTCCCTGTCATCCTCGCTCACCACATCGTCGCCCCGGTCATCCAAGTCCTTGTCATCGCCTCAGTCCCGGGAGTCAGTGGCTCAGCGCCAGCCTTCCAAGCCTGCGATGTCGGTCAGCCTCTCTGCTCCACCTCCGCCACTCACCATGGTTCCGCCGCCGCCTCCGCCTATTGGTCCCAGGGTTCCGTCTGGCCCCTCTGCCAAGACTCCTCCCTGGTTCCTCCCACCGTCAGCTCCACCATACTTGCCAACTCCACCGACTCCTCCTCATCACCATCCGTCACCAGCTCCACGCCCTCCACCGAAGCCTCCGCCTCTTCTCTACATCCTGAAATTTCCCGTCATCAAGGCCGTTGATGTTCTGTTCTGTTCAGTCCTTTGTCGGTTCTCGTTTATTTCAGTTGTGGTTGTGTCTGTCCTGCTTGAAACTTAACAAGAAAAGTTTGTGTTTACCTTAATCATCATCTCGTTCCTTCACTACCACCACAGCGTGACAATAAGGAAGCACATCGTACTTTTGGAATCAACATTGTCCTGCACAAAAAAAAAATACTACATCATACAGATCAATTTGTAAACATGTTTCAAACAACCTAGAAATTAAATTTGAAACATCAAACCAAAACATTTTTGAATATATACAATAAAAAAAAAGATGAGTCACAGATTCTTTGGCATTGCCACAAAATTCACATAAGTTTTCAATATTCAAATGGAAACGTTCAAGAAGTAACTCCTTGACGGTAAATTCTGTGTACAATTTTATAGGATACCTCTCTAATTTTATTATTAATAAAAAACTTATTTGTTATAGACCATACTCTTTTCCAGTTAATATTTTCATATTTAGTAGACCAAAACCCTGTTGAACAGGGCAAATAATTTGTTTTTAAAGTATTTCTAATATATTTGTTACTGCATTTATCTATTAATATATTAATATCCCCAATAAATATTGTATCACTACAAAAACTGGTTTGACGATCAACATTTATAGGATAGAATCCAGGATTTTGTAATAGTGATACAACTCTGCCATGGATTGCATCAAAATTGATGCAACCATGGATTGCACCACCATGGCCACACCCACAGCCTGCTCCGCCTTGGCCACAGCCTGCTCTGCCGTGGCCACACCCGCTGCCTGTTCCACCCTGGTCCCCCGAGGGTCCCACAGCTCCGCCGTGGACGCCCGAGGGTCCGACAGCTCCACCGTGGCCGCCCGAGGGGTCTTCACCGCCGTGGCCGCCCGAGGGGTCTTCACCGCCACGGCCGCCGGCACAGCCTGCTCCGCCCTGGTCGTCTGCGGATCCTGCTCCGCCCTGGTCTCCGCCTCGTCCTGCTCCGCCCTGGTCTCCGCCTCGTCCTGCTCCGCCCTGGTCGTCTGCAGATCCTGCTCCGCCCTGGTCTCCGCCTCATCCTGCTCCGCCCTGGCCGCCTGCACTGCCTGCTCCACCCTGGTCGTCTGCAGATCCTGCTCCGCCCTGGTCGTCTGTCCTGCCCACGTCCCATGGTCCTCCGTCCACGTTCCGAGGCCCAGGTCGGCCCTTACAAGACCCAGCTCCTGTTGCCGGCGCGGACCTGGCCCTCCGTCCCTCCCCCGGGACCGCCTCCGCTCCACCACCCTCCAGAACTATCTTGTTTCCTGTTTATTGGGCGTCTGGAGCCGCCCATAGGAGGGGGGTTATGTTATGAATTCTGTTTCCCCGTTCTTTGTGTTTTTGGTTTAGTCCTGTTTCCCGCTCCCCGTTAAGTCTATTAGTCTTCCCAGGTGTCCCCGATTAACTACACCCCATTGTTATCTTGTTTAGATTGTTTGCCCCTGTATTTAAGCCCTGTGTTTCAGTCCAGCCTTTGTGAGTTCTTGTTTGTTTTGTAGCTGAAGTGTTGATGTTAGTTGTTTTGAGTCTTGTTCCTGGCCTGAGTCTTTGCCTAGTTTCCAGTTTGTTGAATAAAGTGTGTGTGCTGCATTTGGATCCTGCTTCCTCCTTGCTTCAACTGCACCATCATAACACATATGATGTTTGTAAATTTAAAAGATAATTATGAAAGTCAAGAAAGTCGCAGTTTGTCATAAAACAGAAGAGTAACATTTAGTTTTATGTGAAAATCGCTCAAATCCCGGGAAGCGAAACAACGAGCAAGATCCGTTGCTCGTATGTGTGCAGTCTGGTACAAAACACTCAGGCATGACGGCGTAACGTTACGTTTATAATGTAAGACTATAGAAAAAATGACAGACGTTAGCTTCAGTAAAGTTAGCTTCATTCATTGAGAGAAAATGTGCGCCTTTTGGGTTTGTAGTCTTTGTAATTACGTGTTTTCACAGTCTTATGGCCTACCTCAACATTTTTACATCAAACTGCGACTTTCTTGACTTTAAAAATTATTTTTTAAATTGACAAACATTATGTGTAATTCAGGGCACAAAACGAGATCAAAATATTTGTTGTCTCTCGCCATTGACTAATATTTTTCTGAAATAAGGTCCCATGGTGGTCGACCGGAAGGGGAGGGACTTAGGCTCTCTATTGCAGCCCTGAGAGGACTACAGACACTCGATTTTTATACTCTCCTTTTCAGAGTACTTACATTTTAAATATTTATTGGTATATAAAGACAGTTTAAACAAATTTGGGAAAGAGTGTTTTAGAAAAAAACCTGCCTACCCTGCCTTTAATCTAAGATTATGTTTTTACAGGTGGCAGTGGCTCAGTGGTTCATGTAGTTTGTCTACAAACCGGAAGGTTTGTAGGTTTGGTGGTTCAATCCCCGGTTCCACCTGTCGAGGTGTCCATGAGCAAGACACCTAACCCCAGCTGCTCCCGACGAGCTGGATGGCGCCATGCATGGCTGACAACGCCGTTGGTGTATGAATGAGTGAGTGAATGGGTGAATGTGAGGCAAAAATGTAAAGCGCTTTGGTGGCCATTGGGTCTGTGAAAGCGCTATATAAATGCAGTCCATTTATCATTTACAGTGCATCTGATAATCTGAGGCCTTTGGGAGTCTTTGCGCATCCTGAGAGGACTTCACCTGAGACTTCCCATAGCAGGGCACACGGGTGTCTCCTTGGCAATGGCCACATGAAATACTGACAGCTGACAGATGCACCTACAAGTCTCTGCCATCACAGCCTTTATAATTTGTCACTTTGCTGAGGGGGCGGGGCTAAGTGCGCCGTATAGCGTTGCTATTGGCCAAGAATGACTTGAGTTTTGCCCAGGGAGGGCAATTTTTCTTTCCTTTTTTTTTAGGCAGAGCTTGTCCTACTGCAGTATAGGCACATTAGTGGTGCACTGCTCGCTCTCTTTCTCTCTCTCTCTCTCTCTCTCTCTCTCTCTCTCTCTCTCTCTCTCTCTCTCTCTCTCTCTCTCTCTCTCTCTCTCTCTCTCTCTCTCTCTCTCTCTCTCTCTCTGCGGAATGCGCACTGCACTGTTGGGGTGGGCAGAACACCGGGCGTCACAGAGGGAGCGAGATCTACTCACTCACACTCAGTTCTCGCTTGAATGCTCAGGGTTCGGCAGAGTGCAGTGCCTTGAGAATCTCTTGTAGGCTACCCTGTTTTTCAAATAAAAACGGTTTCCATTGAGACCTAAAAGCTCGTTTTAACCATTTCTCTACAACATTCAAGGGTTGAATAACTCTTTATTACTCTCAAAGAGAGTGTTAGCTTCGAGGCGTTGACTCTGTGAGTGCACATTTATTTCGTCCAGCAAAATGGCAAAAGATGATAAGAAGAGCGGGTGGAAAGAGTTCTTCTGGAACCCGAGGACGCGCGAGTTCTGCGGGAGGACCGCGAGTAGTTGGGGTAAGTCTTACACACCGCATTGATAGGATTACACTCATGCATGTATGATAATTAGTTCCACATAATTTTGCATTATAATATGTAACTGAGCTGCAATCATAGCACAGTGAGTCTCACTGTTTGTGCTGAGAAGTTCACTGCACAGACACATCGCTGTCCGAGGAACTCCGGTTGCTTTGCCGGGCTGTAATGCGTCACATGCGTTTCCTCTCCTCGGCGTGTTTATGCAGCTGTAAAACGAACGTTAGAATTGGTGTGTGTTTATGCTTGTCAAATTAACGAAATTGGTATGTAGGCTACGGATAGATTAAAGTTTCTGTACACACTGATTATTGTCTTATTCTGGGTTTTGCGGACAGAAGTGTTGAATGCGCGGCATCAGCTAATGAATAGTGCGGAGAAATGTGATGCGTCGAGTTACTGCAAAACTCCACAATGCGCTTCTGGCAGAACGTCTAAAGCTGGGATGGGCAACTTCGGTACTGGAGGTCTACTGTCCTGGAGAGTTTAGCTTCAACCCTAATCAAACACACCTGAACAAGCTAATCAAGGTCTTCAGGATTACTAGAAAGCTATACAGGCAGATGTGTTTTTATCAGGGTTTTAACAGGGGGCCACTGACCGAGGTTACCCATCCCTGCTCTAAAGGCTTGCACACATCAGTATTTCCTGAACCACATTCTGTAAAGAATAGTCATTTTAACTGCAAAAAGAATGTCAAAATGCTGCTAAATACCTTACTATGTACAGTTGTTTATAGAAGTACAAAGTATTAATTATGGTATAAGTTTTTGTGAAAGATTATAACAAGGCAGTGCAAATATAGTGAAAATACTGTATAAGTGATGTTTTTGTTAAAAGTATGAATAACGTTAATTGGAAAAGGGGCATTTTCTGCTCAAACATAATGTTAGTTTCTTTCTTGGTAGTTATGTAGATTGGAGGGCTTTATGTTGTATTTTATAATGTTTATTGCATTATTTTACAGTTGTGTGTTACCATGAGCTACCCAAACAGTTGCTAGAGAGGTCAGTTTTGATTAACTTTACCCCTCAGTGTGCCACCTTTATCATGTGTACATTTGATCATAAGGCTGGTATAAACCTAATTTAATGACAGTTAGGAACTGTAACATACAGTCACCAAATGCCAACAATTCATTTTGATAACATCATCAGCCAGTAGTTTTTTTTTTAGGCGGTTGGGCAGTTTTACAATGTTCATTCTGCCATTTGGTTTAAACTTTCCAAACATACAAACCTAAATAGAAGTGAACCATAAAACACCTTTAACCCATTGCATGCTGCTGCAAATTGTCTTTTGCAGTGACATTGGGATGATTTAATCTAGCCACGGGCCATTTTGAGTGTGTGCATGGGGGTTTGTGAATTAGTGTAAGATGTAATCCTTTACTAATAGGCTCATTGGTTGCCTTGGTGAGGCTATCATGTGGAGACGCAGCCTATTCAAGGGCTGTAGATTAATTCTGGAACTGAATGTATCTTTTAATCAGGGTGTGATGGCATTAATTGCCATTCAAAATTGCCCGCCGGGCATCTATAACTCAGCTGTCAATGCTATGGGATTGTGTGTGTGTGTGTGTGTGTGTGAGAGAGAGAGAGAGAGAGAGAGAGAGAGAGAGAGAGAGAGAGAGAGAGAGAGAGAGAGAGAGAGAGAGAGAGAGAGAGAGAGAGAGAGAGAGAGAGAGAGAGAGAGAGTGCACTTGAGTTGGAGAAATGCTAGATCGTGCCTTCAAGACTTCCATGTATGCCAGCACATTTTGCTCTAGGGAGCTGAATGTGCAGCACTTCACCGAGTGTGTGTGTGTGTGTGTGTGAGATGCTCTGAGGACTAACTGCCTAGTTAAGCCAGTGTGCTCTCTAAGACTCCTTAATTAGTCTATTTTTGTCTGTGCCCAAACCAGAGTGAACCTGGGTATGCTTAGATTCTTTAACAAAGTACATCCTCATTACTGGAGCTTAATAGTGACCTATGGAGGACGGTGGAAGCTGAAGCTACATTCATACAGCTGTGTCTTCTATTGAAACATATCCAAGGTTGCTTTCAGGATTCATGGGGCACAGAGGGGTCAATACATCCGATAAAAGCACTTAAACCTGATCTCACTACAGCCCTCTGGATGGTCATACAGCCTGTGTCCCATCTTGTTGTTAAACATCACTCTTGCAAAGGCTGGTGAATCTTTAAACCACTTCTGAGAATTACAGCTCATAATGCAGCATCCAATAGCAGAAGATCGTTATACCCCGTTCAAAGAAGCATTAGGGTTCCCGAAAATGAATCGCCTATACTGTAAAAAATATTATATGATCAATAAGTTATGACAACATACGTTTTTACATTGTTTTAACTCGTCAAAATAAATAATTTTCAACTTTAAGTTATACACCAATAAGTTATACAAGACTCAACTCATTTTTAAGTTGAAATGACTTAAACATTCAAGTTGATTGCACTTAAAAATTTAATTTTTTACAGGGAAAGTTTTGGAGATATTATAGGGCTGATATTCTAGATCAGGGGTTCTCAAATTGTTTTATCAGCCAAACCCCTTTGACATAAAATGTTTACTTGAAGTAAATAATTTAGACTTTAAGTTAATATTTAAATAATTTAACAATACATTTGCATGAGTATGGTTCTCTATGGAGCTAATAATATGACAAAATGATTTGAATTTGAATTGTGTAAATTTGAATTATTTGCAAGTGTAATCTAACAAAACTGAATTTTAAATAGTTCTGAATTTGAATTTTTTTAGAACGAATATTGAACATCTGAAATTTAACAAACTGAAAGGTTTTTATGGCTGAATTTTATAGACATGTATTTTTAAACAGCTAGTTTTTGTGTTCTGAATTCAAATACTGCAAAATTTCAGTTTAAAAAAATACGGATTCAAGTTTTCAAGATGAAGAAATTCGGAACGTCAAATTCAGTTTTCTAAAATTCAATGTCAAAAATTCAATGTCAAAAATTCAGGTCTTACAGAAAGTAGGTCACAGGGAAGAGTAGATGATCTCGGAAAAGTCGAACAGAGCATTTTGGCCAATTAGGGACTGCAGAAGTTTTCCAGTCCGAACGTGGTGGTTCAAGAGGTTGCCGCTCTCTGACTCTGATCATGAATCGCCCGGAGGTAAGTTAAACATGAATGATTTTATCATCAGGGGCAACCTGATCGACTGTCCCCAGGGGCCTCGCTGCGTGAAGCTCAGGTGTCCCGTAGCTTAATGAGCTCTCCTCAGGCGTACACACTCCTGCAAACATCCCTCATATCCCCTCGATGGAATGATAGAGCCTGCATCTGTTCAAAATAGCAACCATAAATTATGTAATGCATTGGTGAATATGTTTTGAGGTACATTCTTAGTACTGAGCCAAATGGAGGAGCTAGTTTTTATCAGAAAATTCAGGTAATTAACATAACATTTTAGGCAGTCCAAGTGTCCTACAAGATATACTATTTTAAGCAACATTTTTCTGATATATAATATAAATACTATATACACTGCTGTTCAGAAGTTTGGGATTAGTACATTTTTTAAAAGGAAATAATACTTTTATTTAGCAAGGATCCAATTGAGCAAAAAATGTCCAGTTGAAATAAATGCTGTTCTTTTGAACATTCTATTCTATTTCTAAAAATAATAATAAAGTCAGTTTCCACAAAAATTCAGCACTACAGCTGATGTTTCTTGAGCAGCAATCAAATTATTTTACAATGTATTTTATTCCTGTGATGTCAAAGCTGAATTTTCAGCATCATTACTCTAGTCTTCAGTGTCACATGATCCTTCAGAAATCATTCTCAACTAAAACAGAAAACTATTATTTTTAATTGTAATGGTATTTCACAATATTACTGTTTTAATGTATTTTTATCTATTTGTTGCAGTCTTGGTGAGTAGAAAATACTTGTGAGTAGAATGGTAGTGTATATAGTTATTACCTATTATAATACAAGTCTATTGCAAAAAGGTGTTATATACCTTTATATATAACAGTATATATACATTTTAAACTTTTGACATTAACTGTCAGCTATGTCAACTACCCATATGATGGATATTACCGATATATCAATGGCTCATAAACAATACTTATATGTGTCCCTATGATACACCTATTTATGATAAATTGTCAGAGATACAACGATTTGAAAATCTGGAAACCGAGGGTGCAAAATAATCGAAACATTGAGAAAATCACTTTTAAAGTTCGCGATTGTGCTGCATTCACTCACAAAAATAAAAGTTTTATATATTTACGGTAGGAAATATCTTACAATACAAAATATCTTCATGGCACATTATCTTTACTTCATAGCCTAATGATTTTTGTCATAAAAGAAAAATCGATAATTTTGACCCATTGCCACAAATATACCCATGCGACTTGGCTATTGCCACAAATATACCCGTGCTACTTGTGACTCGTTTTGTGATTCAGGTTCACATTTATGCAAAATGGCCCCGTCTGTCATTAACATCAGCAAAAACTCCTGGCTCTTTTATAACCATATGGTGCCAGATTATTTTACAAAATTACAGTACAGACATTATATTAAATTTATATATTCAAGACATAATATTCATTAAATTCAACTAAAAAAGAAAATGATCCCATAATTTACTCACCCTCAAGACATCCTTGGCATATATGACTTTCTTCTTTAAGCCAAAAAACAATCTGAATTATATTAAAAATATCCTGGCTCTTCCAAGCTTTATAATGGGAGTGAATGGTAATAGGCTCTATGCACGGCGGTGCATGACGTATTTCCGGTGAAGGTCTAAGGATGCTGGATTACTTCCGCCGATAGTTGAGTGCTATTGTAACAATCACCAGCTGGAGTGCCCTCGAGAGCCACCAGAGGGCGCTCCACAATAGACTTTGATCACTTCCTCACTAACTACATTTCCCATCACTCACTGCCCGGATTCATCAGCATTCATCATCTCATTCACCTGTGTCTCATCACATGGTTGGTCTCTGATTGCATTCACCTGTTTCTCATCACCCTGTTAGTCCCTGTCTATTTATTCCATGTTCATTCACTCACTCATTGCGAAGTTTTGTTTGTGTCCCACTGCATCTCTGAGCGTTTACCTGGTTTCATGTATTTTGGTGTTTGGATTTCTTGCCCGGTTTCCTGGATTACTCTTTTGCCTCTGGTCCCTCCCTGTTTTGTTTGTTTGTTTGATTCTTTGTTTGTTTCTTTGTTTGGACTGCCTACCTGTGTTTTGACCCATTGCCTGTACTTTGGATTACGCCTTTGGATTGCCCACAAATAAAGCTCCGTTTGGATCTTTACTTGCCTGTCTCAGAGCAGTTTCGTGACAGCTATGCTATACCGAGAATTTATATTGGCTTCTTTACTCTTTGGCTATACTAAAGGAACATTAGTCACAAAAACAGACAAAACAGCCACTTCTCATTTTGTTTATGCTTATTTGCTTTATTATATTAAATAAACATAACTATATATATAAAATGACATCTAAACGTATGAAAGTTTTGTTTCAAAGATGGGAGGACAGCAAATTTTGAAGACTCTGCCATAATCCCGTTTTCCTCCGCTTTAAATCTCCCCAACCGGAAACTGAAGAGCAGCCTTGCGTCAAAGGCATGCGTGCATATAGCCTATTGCGATCCATTACCGGACGTTACCGGAAGGCAGTGATTATAGTTTATAAATGTATAAATATTGATATTTTTCTTAGAAAAATGCATCGCTTCACTTCAGAAGGCCTTTATTAACACCCTGGAGCCATATGGATTATGATGTATGGATGTGCTTTTTTGGGCTTAAAAATCTGTTTGCATTCATATAAAGATCGGAAGAGCCAGGATATTTTTAATATAACTCCGATTGTGTTTGGTTGAAAAAGAAAGTCATATACGCCTAGGATGGCTTGAGGGTGAGTAAATTATGGGTTAATTTTCATTTTTGGGTAACTGTTTAACATTAACATTTATCACTCACTAATATTAACTTTTCATCCAGCATGGCTGCCACATACTGTACCAAAATAAAAGTATTGGCTTTGGCCACTTTTACTTTAAATGCTGTTACTCTTAAAATAACGAGATATGTAAACAAGCTTTGGCTGCGGTAGGCTAAATTATTTACGACAGCAGTAATGGACAATTCTGCTTCCAACCTGTAGGGCAACCGCTGAGGAAAAGTTACTTGGTGTTGCTTTAATACGGGCTCAATTTAAGGACGCATGGCAAATTTGGAGGGACTTGGCCACTTCACTTGGCAGCACTATCACAGTGAAAACCATAAAAATGGCTCTCACTATACAGGACTGTAGTTCAATCTATATTTTGTATGTAGTATACATCAGTGAGGACAGTCATATTTAAAAATAGCCGCCATCAGCCAATCAGTATCGCCTGCAGCTATTACTGTAGACATGATCAAAATGATCTGGGGTGCGTTTCCCGAAAGCATCGTTAGCCAACTACGGTCGCAAGTTCCGTCGTTATCAGCATAGTTCAACAAGTCGGTGTTTCCCGAAACCATCGTTGAACAAAATAAGCAAGCTGACATTCAGTACAACCTGTGTCTTTTATTTAGAATAGCCTACATACAAATGTGTTTGACATCTTTGAGTTTGTCAAGATATTTAAAGCACCGTTTTTGAAGACTGCGCATGTGCGAACGTGCTCTACAATGTAAGAACGAGCCTATGATTAAATCCGGAAATAAAGCGAAATAACTGAGAAAAAATAGAAATATTCCTCAGATGCCATGTCTGTAATTTATATCAAAACATCTAGCATTAATTCGATCTCAAACAGTTTAATTAAAATAAGTTATTACTCCACCACGTGCGTGACGTCATAAACCAATGTGGTTGAACCATGGGTTGAACCAGAGCCATAGAGAGAAAGAGTTGCGACACTCCCATAGACCGCCATAGAAACTTTGGAATGCGGAAGTAACGCGTGTCGTGGAGCAGCCAATAGTTCCAAACACTGATAGTTCCCCCATTGAACCCCATTCATTTTCAGTGCTTCAGAAGTACGTTCGCTGGTAAATTAATGAAATTACTGTATTTTTTTTACTTTTACACACATTAGCCGACCTCTCGTGAATCTAGTCTGTAGTTATATTTAATGTAGCCAGTTTTAGTAAATGTTTATTGGAAGATAATAGGTTAATTGCAGCGATAGCTTGCGTGACCAACACTTCACTAACGTTAGCTAACTGGTAACCTGATGTATATAATATATAATATTTTTAATAATATTTTATATGTATATATATATATATATAACCTATATATAATATTATATACACACACACACACAATTCATTTATTTAAATGGGTTAGGGAGGGTTATGCATGTGCTTATATATGTATTTAGGAACATAGTTAATTCACTCATTAACTATCTCTCCGGTTTAATTTTATGAAGAATATTTTTCGGTTGAATATTTACCGAACATTGCTGTATATAGTCGTTGCTTTCTACGTTATGGGAGCAGTCTATTTCCCTCCTAAATCATTCATTTGTACATGCACAGCGTAATTATTTATATTTTGTGTTGGTTGGAGTTCTGAACGGACTGCAGACCTCTTTGCGTGATCACGAAGGTAGGCTAATGGCTGAATCGGAATTTATAAGCAAGATCACGGGAATCAATAGCCTAATACAGCCCAGTTGTGTTAAAATAAATATCATGAGACGTCCATCATCAGATGAATGACATGGAAAAGTTAAGTTAGAGCCGCTAAAGCCAGTGCTAACGTACTAACCATGCGAACATGAACACTAAGCTTTTCCCTCCAAAAAAATAGCCTAAAACTTATCTAAGTTGTCACCCTGCCTCTCCAAATGCAAAATTGATATTAACCAAATGCAATAACAGCTTAAAAAGTACTTGGGTGTTTTATTTTATATTTACAGTTTAATAATCCAATCGCTGCTGTCTGTCCATAGAAGAACATGACAGCCCGCGTATGTTTTGGAACTAATGGGGCTTACATGAACCACGTGACAGCCGTCGGGGCGACATCAAAGCGTGTCGCAACTCTTTCTCTCTATGGCTCTGGGTTGAACGACCACTTTGCGCCAATGCGACATAGGGCCCTATTTTAACGATCTGAAACGCAAGTGTCAAAGCGCAAAGCGCAAGTAACTTTGTGGGCGGATCCCGGCGGGATAAATGCCTCTTGCGCCTGGCGCAAATCTAAAAGGGGTTGGTCTGAAGTAGCTTCATTATTCATAGGTGTGGTTTGGGCGTAACGTGAAATAAACCAATCAGAGCGTCATCTCACATTCCCTTTAAGAGCAGGCGCGCTTGTTCTAAAGCCGATTCCTATTATAACGGCGGAATTGCCAGGCGCGCGCCAGGAGCGGTTCACAGCCGAGGAGAGCAACGTTCTCGTCAGGGCCGTAAAACACAGAGAAGTGACATTGGGGATGGAGAAACCCACACAAATTAACTTCTGTTAAACAGGCGTATGATAATTTGGGTAAATGTGTATGCTTTTATAATAAATTGTCTATCTATCTATCTATCTATCTATCTATCTATCTATCTATCTATCTATCTATCTATCTATCTATCTATCTATCGTAATAATGTATGATTTGCAAAAATGAAAACTGCTGCTTAGACGAGAGAAGCAACGTGTATGCGCGTTGTGCACACGCTACATTGATTATGGCCAAGCATGCGCGCTTAAAATAGCATAATGAACAACGCGCAACGCGCCACTGACTTTAGACTAGGTTTTTTCTGGTCAGTGGCGCAATTGTTTTATAGAACAGCAAAATAGCATGAGGGAAAGTTTGCGCCGGAACACGCCTCCTCTTTGCGCTGAACCGCCCCGGGGAGCGCAAGTGTATTTCTTAGTTAACCGACGTGTGTCTGTGGAGGGAAAAGTCCCCTTTGCGCGGGTGCAAAATAGGAATGATACATGCGTCAGTGTACAAAGTCATTTGCGCCGAGTGCAAGATAGGGCCCATATGGTTTCGTGAAACAGTCATGACTAGCTAGTTGATTTCTTCAACGATGTATCGTACTATTATGCAGCGACTTACGTCGTCGTTGTACGGGAAACGCACCCCAGATCAAAACACATAAAGTGGGAGACTAAAATTTGCTTGTGCTGATCGAACAGTAGGTGTCATCAAAAATGCCTTTTCTGTATGTCTCCTTGAAATGTATGGGGCATTTACATTGTGTTATCTGTCTGTCAAAAATGCTTAATGCCATGCAAAATATGGGTTCGTGGTGACTAAACTCCAATAATTCCTGTATGCAGCTGTATTTATTTGTCAATTTAAATGAATCAGCATTATTTATTATTATTATTTGTAGTAGTAGTAGTAAAAGTAATTATTATTAATAATTAATATTCTTAATAGTATTCACCCATAATTCCCCTAAAAAGTATATTTTGATGCTAAGTTTCACCAGTGACACATATTTTGCATGTACTGTATGGGGAATTTCCAAGAACTTGAGTGCAGTATGTGTTTGTTTAGAGTTTGTATTTGAATGTGTGTGTCCATGTAGGTCTGATCCTGCTGTTTTATCTGGCATTCTACATTTTCCTGGCTGGATTATTTACTCTCACCATGTACGTAATGCTACAGACACTCGACGACCACAAGCCAACATACCAAGATAGACTTTCAACTCCAGGTGATACACACAGACTTGTTCCTATACATGTGGAAACCTTTTATAATATGTTTTTTAAATTAAGCAAATTATAACCACTGCACCCTAATGTTACCATTAATTGGTCAATTCATTAGCCTTTTTGATGTATAATAAATGCAAACATATTTCGGTCACAGTGATTGTGCCAAGTAAGACATATTCGTGGATCAACATATTTTGTTGATCCTGGAACAACATTCCTGTCTGAAAATGTACCTATCATATCCTTACCCCTAACTTAACCCTATCCATATGTTATCCATAAAATCAGAGGGAAATGATAGGTAAATAACACTGATGTAGAAGCACCTAACCCTAGTTGTAAGCCTAAACTTGACATAAACTGTTAACTTGTCCCTCAAATCTGACTGGTTGATTGGAATGTTGTTCCAGGATCAACAAAGATGTTGATCCAGAATCATGTTGTACTTGGTGAAATCACGGTGACCCAAACATACACACACTCACAGACTACATCTGTGAACATTGCCTCTTATTGGTTCTCTGTTGTTTTGTAGGGATGATGATCAGACCTAAAGGAGAGCAGTTGGAGATCGATTACACAGTGGAGTACACAGAGACCTGGGAAAGATATGTCCAGGCCCTCAATAACTTCCTCTCTCGTGAGTACAGTGAGGTTTTCGAACAATAATATATGTAGGCCTATTACAGAGAAACTGCTGCAGTTACTTTTACTAATAAAATTATGCATGTAATTTAGCAAGACATTCACAGAAGGTCATGTGCTTTTGCTTCTTTTATGCAGCCTACAATGACTCAGTCCAGGCCCAGAAGAATTACGAGTGTAAACCGGATCAGTACTTCATCCAGGAGGACAGCGGCAGTTTGAAAAACTTCCCCAAACGTTCCTGCCAGTTCAAACGCTCCATATTGGAGGATTGCTCTGGGCTCACAGACCGTTATTATGGTTACAGTGAGGGCAAGCCCTGCGTCATCATCAAGCTCAACCGTGTAAGACGTCATGGAATAGAATGGAGTGAAATCTTTGTGTCAGAAACATTTACAATACTATCCAAAAAGTTGTGCCAGTAATGGACAATGGTCAAATTACAGTTTATGGTAACACTTTAGTTTAGGGTCCAATTCTCACTATTAACTACACTTTTAATGAAAAGGGTTCTAAACAGTACCAAATTAGGGTTCTTCGACTTGTCACAATAGCAGAACCCTTTTTGGTGCTAAATGGAAGGTTCCAGAAAGAACCATGCTTTGAAAGCGCTATATAGGACCTTATTGGTGGTATAAATAACCTTTTCAACAATATTTAATTTCATTAAAATTAGTATATTAGTATCTTCATATTATTAATATTAGTATTATTTTTTATAAATGATTTATTAATATTGTTTTTTTAATCCTCTATCTGCTTGGTCTTATATCTTGTTGCCTCTTTTTTAGGTTTTACATAAAAAAACAGCATGTTGTGTCAATTAGGTAGCTACTTTTATTTTTTATTGACATGGCAGGTTGTAGCAAAAATGACAGTACTCTAACAACAGTTGTTAGCTGAATACATTAATAAATAACAATTGACATTGAACACGATATAGATGTAGTAGACCAAGTTCCAGTGAAATATCTTCACAATCCTCTGATTTCTTTACATCCTTCATAATGTGTGTGTATTCTGAGTGGCAGTTTCTCTCTGCAGATGATGAGGTTATGATACGCAACAGCATCTGAAATACACAATTGAGTTTAGAGTTACATTGTGTCTCTTCCATTTGATTATGTAAAAACAATTATGTTCATGAAGGCCAAAATTAGCAAAAATTAGCCCTTTACCATGTGATATAAAGTCATGGGATAGCTTTAATGTTTTTTTTTGTGACTGGGTATGTTTAGGCATAAAGTCATAATTAAAAATCAAAACAAAAAAACAATTTGGATCATAAATTCTATATCTCTATGCAAATTTACTTACTTTGTGGAGAAGAGAAGATGAGCAACGTTATCCTTAAAGCTGCAGTCCGTAGCTTTTCTGGGGTTAAAAATTATCCAAAATACATATTTGAGAAAATACACAACCAGCCAGTGTTCAAAACTCTCTGCTTACCTTAGCTCGGTTCAAAACGGTAAACTTGTAAAAATGTTCTTAACTCTAGTGGTACTGGTGGATTTCCGCGGGAGATTCGAGCATGTCTTTGCGTCATTACGTCACATCTGTACACATAAAGAAGGAGTCTCGGCTAGTATAAGCTATATTGCGTGTGAGGATGCTGGAGGTGGAGATTTATAGCCTTTTCTCACAGCACTTGATATAATTAAACTTATCAATTTGATGGCGGATCCAGAAAGGGTCAAACGACAATCACCAGAGACAACAGATTCACCCGCTGTAAAATGCAAAAGACTTCGTTCGGACTTCAGAGTGGCTAACTTACAGAAAAAAAAAGAGACTGCAACCGGACCCATGCGAAAACAAGGATAGATATCGGAAGGACATGTTGTCACGCAATGCGGAAGTTGTTAACATTAACAATTTGAGAACAAAGTATATTTTGCACGGTTTTGCGTGATGTGATAAGCGATTTTTAGATTTAATCAGCGTGATTTACTGCAATGTCAGAACCAGAACAAAAGTGGATGTTACTTACTTGTTCAGATTACATTTTCCAGGGAAAATTATTATGTTGGTCATACTCCCAAAAAGAATAATCTGTGATTCTGAATGCCAGTATCCACACCGGCGCGGTGACCGACAGCCGCACATTCTCCTCAAACACTGTGTTCATCCGCGCTGTGCCGTGTCGAAGTACAACTCACGTAAAGTTGATAATTCCGCGAATGATTGCAATTGCAGATTTCGAACAGAGATGGCGACAAAGAGGAAAAACTGCGGACTGCAGCTTTAACTGAACAGAGCTGCTCACACTTACATGTTCTGTTAAACTAAAAAGAGACACAGACATGATTGTTAGGAAATGATTGTTACCATTTTTAAAGTTATAATTTATAGACATTTTAAGAAAGAATCATTTACCTGTTGAGAGTATGTTGACAGTCTGTGTAGTTGTATAGCTGAGCTCCAGAAAATCAGTAATGAGGAGGCTTTGACAGTTACAGATTTGAAAAACAAAAAGGCGGGAATAAAGAACCCTAAACTCTAACACAAAGAACCATTTCAACATATAAAGGGTTCTACAGGATGATACGGTTCTAAATAGAACTGTTACTACGTGTAAAGAACCTTTAAAGAACCATCTTTTTTTAGAGTGTAGTTAGCATGCATATTACTAGGATTTTTGCGGTTTATTAGTTCTTATAAAGCACATAATTATTAATGCCTTATTCTGCATGACCATATTCTACATTCCTTAATCCTACCCAATACCTAAACTTAACAACTACATTACTAACTATTAATAAGCAGTAATTAGGAGTTTACTGGGGCAAACACTATAGTTAATAGTTAGGTAATAGTGAGAATTGGGCCCTAATCTAAAGTGTTACCCAGTTTGCAAAACATTGTACCATTCAATCCTTCAACTGTCAAATCAGAGACAAGTATTCCTGCAGACTCTCCCACCAAACCTTGCCAGAATGTTTTGGCACATCTTTGAATATATTTTATATTACAAACAGTAAAAATACAAATAAATGTCTGATTTGAACCACAAAATGAAAGATAGAGGCCTGACTGTTTATAATAGTTCATCAGAGTCAGAGTTATTTTAGATTCGTAATTAGACCCACTTTGACCTTTTGGTTCTTATCTGTGGGTCACTTTCTTTTTCTCTCTCATTTCAATCTTTCTTTTTTTGCAGGTGATCAATTTTCTACCTTCTTCAAACAGGAACCCTCCTTACGTCACATGTGCTGCTAAGGTAAGAGCGCTCTGTCTCAGTCTCCCACTCTCTTCTTATCCTTCAGTCTATTAGAAAGGGATTGATTTCAGATTAAAGTTTCATGAGCCATTCAACAAGGCCAGCAGATTAAATTAGCCAGTAATCAGAACTGCGGCCATTCGGAGAAAAGCTGCCACGACAGACTATGTGCTGCCGATTCACATGCAAATAAATGACAAGATACAAACTGAAATGAGAACAATTTAAGAAACATTGGTGTGTTTCCCATTCATTGTAAGTCAGAATGCATTCAGTATTTATTAGTTGCTGCAAGATTCAGTGTCTTTGCACTGTTTTCAAATTCATGAATGATGTTTAGTTTTAGAAAATGAAATAGTTTTAGTTAACAACACCGTTGCTTGTTTGTATCCACATACTGTTGGTTAGTTTAAGTTGTTGTTACCCCACTGTAATGCCACGCATTATCAGGTAGCAAACTTTGATCTCTATTGCATTGGAGCGGATGTTTTTTATGCTCTTTCCCGGAGCTTTCTCAATAGTGTGTGCCATTGGAATCCGAATCAAGTATGTTTGTGTTGATTCCGGCTATCGACCAGTGGTTTAATCTGATGGTGCCATTCAGGCTCATGCAGATATGTTCCTTTTTTCCTTTTAACACATCTTGCACTTTTGTCATCATGGACACATCATTCCTCCTCCTGTGTTCTGTATTGTTGTCATTTAATTGTTGCTTTCAGTGTTTGTTCAATGAGTGTTGTTTTACACCATTGCTCATCATCTTCGTTTATGTTTCATGTGGATGATTTGTTTTGTTTTTTCTGTCTCATCTGTTCTCCCCATCCATTCTTGTCAGAAATACAAAGTTGGGAAAGACGAGTGGGTAAGAATAATAGACAGAATAAAGAATAATCATTTTAACAAGAGTATTTTACTACTGTAGCTGTAATATTCTGCAAGGAGAGAAAAATTGGAAGCCAGACTTTATATTTTTCTCAAACTGACCAATCTTTAAAGGTTCTCTAAGCGATCCTGGGTGACATCACTTCTTGTTGACGTTCGAACTATTGTCAAACAAAACGGAGGCTAGCTAGACCCTCCCTCCTCCTCATCCGCACACTAACCCCCCAAACCCCGCCCCCAAACCCTTCTTGTCGGTCATTGGCTGGAACAGTTTGTTATGTTTTGGGGAGCGGGTCGCCGCAGTTTGCTTTTGTTGCTGTTTGTGGAGCCTGGACTGTCTACAGAGATCGCGTTTCTTTACAGTGTGTTCAGGGGACAGGCAGCCAGTGGATAGTGAGGAGATGTTTGCTGTATGTGACAAAAAATGTTTTGGCCTAAAAAACGCGTGACATCGCTTAGAGCACCTTTAATTAAGTTTAAAATCTATGTTTTATCAGCAAAAGATAAAATGATTATTCATACCGTCAGATCATATGCTAGATAATTCCAGCATAAGATCATATCAAGGGGCAATTAGTTTTTCTGTTCATTTGTTTAATATAGTAATAGCAGTTTTGGTATTAGAACAGGTTGATACCCTCAGATCAAATGCTGAGCTGAGATGAACTGAATGTCTCCCTCCCTCTGTAGGCGGATGACTCAGACAAAATTGGTGAACTGATGTACTTTCCCCCCAATGGCACCTTCAATCTTATGTACTATCCATACTATGGCAAGAAATCCCAGGTACAATGCACACACACACTTGGAGAATACAGCTGTAAGCACACAGACACACATCTTGCATGTCCTTAAAGTCAGAATGAAATTAAAATTCAGCCTATCTGTTTTGATATGTGCATGTTTCATTATTATTATTATTATTGACCATTTTAAATCAAAATGCAAAAACTTAATTTTCCGGTGTCATACATCTGTCGTATGCTGGAATTCTTCAATCAATTAGTCCACTTAAACCCCGCCCCTTTCTTCTAAACAGTATGTGACAAAAGAAGTATGTCTGAATTCATAGTACTCATAAAAGAGTAGGCAAAAAGTATCCGTAGGAATGACCTACTTCTTCCGGCGAGATTCTGAAGTGTGCATACGATGTACACTTTACTATCCCATGAGGCCACATGAGAGGATTTATGAATGGCAGTGAAGCGACGCAACTAACACTGGTAGGTCACATGATAATGACAATATGGCGAATGTAGTATGTCCAAATTCATACTACACACATTCATACTATATATAACATACTTTTTAGTGGTTATGAACAGTGTTGGGGGTAACTCATTACAAGTAACTTGAGTTACGTAATCAGATTACTTTTTCAAGTAACTAGTACGCATTACTTTTAAAATTTTCAACAAAATATCTGAGTTACTTTTTCTAATAAGTAACGCAAGTTACTTTGTTTTCCCCTTTATTGACTGACTGCTCTTCTGTCCTAATGTTGAGACAAATCGAAGTGCAGAGGCGCTGTGTGTAAACATGATGGTTATTATAGTTCTAGATTAAATGTAAGCGTGGATTTACTCATCTCACTTGCACAAAAAAGATTCAATATTCCTCAAAATTAAATAAAATCAGTGAAATGCAGAATCAGAACACTATGCAAACCTCCAATACCTAAATATGTTAAATAAAACATACATTTTTATGCATTTAATCTTTATTGACCAAAGTACTTGCTTCTGACCTCCGATTTTTTCAGTTTAACCATAAGCAAAAATGACTATAGATTTTTTTATATGTTTTTATTGGTAAAGTAAGTGTTAAATTTGTTTCTCCTGCATCCTCTTCTTCTGTTACCCAGAACAGCAGCAGCTGAAAGGTTTGTTTGAGAGGCGCCCACTACTGAACACTACTGTACTCTACTGTACAGGAGTAAATCTGCATTTCCTTCAGTCTGAGGCTTATTATTTCACTTTTGGTGTGAAAGGGTCTTTACATTTGCCCAAAAATATATCTTTTTTTGGTATAAAAAAACAAGCCCAGCCCAGGTGGAAAAAAAGTAACGCAAAAGTAACGTAACACATTACTTTTCTAAAAAAGTAACTAAGTAACGCAATAAGTTACTTTTTAAGGGAGTAACGCAATATTGTAATGCATTACTTTTCAAAGTAACTTTCCCCAACACTGGTTATGAAGTAATTACTTATTCATGATAAGTACCTACTCAAGAGATTATGTGCTTTCGGACGCAGCCGGAAGTGTCCAATAACAGGAGGCAACTAGATAAAGCGAGTCGATTCAGTCATGTGATCTCAACATCTCAATACAGCTTTTATTAGGCCACCTTTAATAAATCAGCCACATCTCACTCTTCTTCTGCTGCAGGTAAACTACTCTCAGCCTCTAGTGGCCATTAAGTTCCTCAACATCACCATGAATGAGGATGTCAACGTGGAGTGCAGAATCAACGCTGACAACATTAAAGTGGGCAGTGAGCGAGACAAGTTTGCTGGGCGCATTTCCTTCAAACTGAGGATCAACTCCAGATTTTAAATAGATGAAAGTGTGTTCCTTTATTTCACACACACACACACACACACACACACACACACACACACACACACACACACACACACACACACACACACACACACACACACACACACACACACACACACACACAGACAGACACACAGAGAGAGAGAGAGAGAGAGAGAGAGAGAGAGTGTATGATTATGCACAGAAGGCACAGCTAGAGACATAAGCCAGGCACATCAATCTTCAGCACAGGCAGATCAGAGAATAATACTTCAAAATTTCAAAGCAATGTATTTTTTTTTTCATTTGATCCTGTTGTGAGGTTGTAGAGAGTTATCAAGGTTGTGGCTTTGTGTGTATTAATGTGTGTACATCTGTGTGTGCGTGTGTTTGCATGTGTGAATTGAGATATTACAGTCTTTATTTTCTGAAACAAAAGTTAAACCGCATGCTCAGCTATGAGAGCTATTTAGTAAATAATACATTATTCTATTAAACAATATTAAGAATAAAGGGACATCATTTTTTAAAAGGAGAAAAAGTCAGAACTTAAAAAATGCTGTTTTTCTTCCATTAGTAGCTGTAATAATTTATCAGAAAATAATTATGATTTCAAAGCAGTTATCTATGACTTAATGTGCTATGCTGGCATGATCTCATGTTCGGAGTGAGATATCAGTTGTGAAGAGTGGTACTGAAACCTCTCTGTCTGATTTGTGGCTTTATAAGTGAAGAGGATATTTTATACCAACATGTAGATAACACTGATCAAAGTCAGCTCAACATTCATCTTCAACACACATGAAAAATCTGATACGTTCTGATTCATACAAACATTTCTGCATTCCTATTGGTTTCGGCACTGACTGTCTATTTAAGTTTGTTTATATGTATAAATAGATATTTTGCAGTATTTTTCCTTTCTTTTTTGCATGTGTAATCCTATTTGTCTCACTTGGTGAGGGGATATGATGTTTTGTATTGATTTGCACCTGCTCAGAGGATGACAACAGGCCTGGGTTCAGTTCAAAATCTGAAAAATAGGTAGAAAAAGTTGAATATGTGTGTGTGAGAATACGTATGGATTTCTGCATGTGTGTGTGTTTTTATTTTATTTCATTTATTTTATGTTAATCTTTGTGCACAATTTACTTTCTGAATATTTTTGGATTTTGTTGTAAGTGATTCCATAGAGACAGATAGAGAGGCTTTAAGTCCAGGAACAGCAGGCTTATGTTTCTGCTGATAGGGGAAACAGAAGTGAATCCAACCCAGTCCTTACCCTGCATGAGTCAATAAAACAAAAACAAAAAACAAAACAAAAAGTCACCCACCTCATTTCTCATCATTTTTAAAATCTCATTTCTTTCTTTTGTTTTTAAACACAAAAACCTCCCCCTTTGAGCACACCTCATGCTCCATGCTGTGAGGTGTCTTGTGTTTCATGTTTAGGCTACTGTCTTACAGAGAAGAGAACGGATCACCCATTAGAATGTACACACATGCTTCTCTGTGTCGTAGTCGCTCTGACAAGAGTTTGTGTGTACGTTACACTTCCTCTAATGCCCTAATCCTTTAATCTCAATAGATAATCCTAAATAGGTATGGTGCTCTATAAACAAACATTTCTCCAAAAGTCTGTCTATCTATCTATATATCTATCTATCTATCAGACATAAGTTAAGTGTCTTCATTTATTGAAGAATATTCAATTGAGTGACAATATACTTAATTACATTTGATCCCATTCACATGTTACTCTGTGATGTCTGTATTGCATATTTTTTTGTTTGTGCAAGGTAAGGATGGTATCTGACCCAGCAGAGAAAGCTTCAAATCAACAAAATGAAATATTCATTTACCTCAAGTCCCAGCTCACATATCATTAACTTGATCCTGTTCAATGGTCATGTACACTCTGGAGTGAAAGATCAACATAATTCTAATTGTGCAATATAATTCCAATATTGTTCTAATTGTTTTTGAGACTGCTGTTCATTTTTAATACCATGCACAAAAAAGGCAAAAGAGAACAGTAAGTGCAGACTTTGCTGCATGCAGGCTTGAAGAAACAGCGCCCCCACGCCACCAACCGTTTATATGGGTGAACTACACATTTAATAGTACTAGCATGTGTATATTAAAGGTATAGTTCACCCAAAATTCTGTCATCATTTTCTCACCCTCAAGACAAGTAGTTACAAACCTGTATGAGTTTCTTTCTCCTGTTGTACACAAAAGAAGACCCATTGACTTCAATGGTATTTTTTTTCCTACTATGGAGGTCAATGGCTACCACCAACTGTCTGGTTACAAATATTCTTCAAAATATCTTATTTTATGTTCATCAGAAGAAAGAAACTCGTACAGGTTTGGGATTGGAACAACTTGAGGGTGAGTAAGTGAAGACAGAATTCCATGTTTGGGCGAACTAACCCTTTAATATGCATCTATTGTCCATCTCGTGTATGAAGAAGAGTTACATAATATATGTTTATTTACCTTTGGAATGGCTGATCATGAAGATAATTATGTATTAGTAGCGTATATTTAAATAAATATATTGATGAGAATGGCTAGATGTGTTTTAAAATCACATGCAAAACAGAAAAGATATAAAAAGTATATTTTCAAAGAACCTATATTTTTATTTTTGTTGAGCATTTTATGAAAACAAAAGCATGTACCAGCTGGGGAATGTACGATAAATATTAAGCTTTGCAGTGCTTATTATAAAGGAGGTCACAAGACTTAGCCCAAGAATGTAATAATTTATTGTCACTAGTCTGGATCTCACCGTAAATATATGCAACTTTTATGTTTCATAAAACTACAAATGTCACAGTGATAATACAGATCATGGCAAAGATGATGATCTGTTAGAACAAATTAAATGTCTCCTGTGAACATATTAACCATATGAACTGAACAGCTTTTGAAAACAAGATGACAAGTCATCCATCTAATGTATATGAAGCATATGAAAAGGGATATATAGTAAATGCTGTGGTTTGGATGTATTTGAACAGATGGAGTGGGTTGTGTAAACAGGAACATCACAGAACAAAACTGCAGGTCATTCGATATGGCTCAAAGTTCAGTGGTTCACACAGAACTGGACCTTGCGCAAAGTGTGCTGAAATGTTTATAAGTGGGTGAAATTATATTACCTAGTCAGTTAAATTAATTATATAAACGCCTTATAGCCTACTGTATATGTTCAGAAGCTTAATCTAATGTATTGAAATAACAAACTTAATAAAATGAACAAAAATACACTGTCTGCTCTTCATCAATAAAATCTGCATTAGAAATTCTATAACTCAATTCTGGAGGGTTAAAACCAAGATGTCTTGAGTCTACATTAGTGATATCTGTTCAACTAACAGACTAATAAAGAGCAGAGCTGGCAAACCCACACAATCGCATGCTCAGCAGTAGCGTAGGCAGAAATTTTATTTTGGGTGGGCCAGTGAAAATGTGAGTGGGCCTATAGTTTTTCATAGAAAAAAATGACTTCAGTAATAATTAACCTTAGATAGTAGAAAAATGAATCGACAAACTGCAAAAACAGTTAGCTGCTACAGCTTTATATTCGGCAAATCATCATGTTCAACCAACAGAGCTTAATAAAGGCTGGACAAACCAGTGTAGACATTAGACAATAACCTGTCTATTTTATTCAGGCTAGTCAGCAATGCAAAGACATTTCACCCGAAAATAAAGTAAGCTAAAATAATAATATCACAGTTAGATCGGCGGATAAACCCGCGTCAGGCTGACCAGGAGAGAGGGAGCAAGAAGCAGCCGCCACCAGCACCTGACTAGCCTTCTCCTGGGGTAATGAATCTGAAGAACTGGGACTCGGTAGATGAAGGCAGTGGCGTGTCTTCTTCCTCAACTCTTGCTTTTTTCAAATAGCACATTAAAGAAAGTTGTTTAGCCATTATTGTGGCGCCGACGCCGCTGTGAGTTTTCCTGTCGGAACCCCCAGCAACCATAGCAACCAATTACGTTCCGGAGAGAGGCTTTCTACAACTTGCTTCGACAGTTCCGTTTTATTCGGAAAACGAATTAAACACACACAGCAGTCAACAATAAATCAGGTATATATTAATATATTTTCTTAAATACATTTGAATAAAAATAAACTAAAAATGTATTTTTATCAAACTTGTCTGGGCGGGCCAGTGAGTAATGTGGGCGGGCCAGTGCCGCCCTGGCCCAATACTGGCTACGCCCCTGATGCTCAGTATTTCCATTGTCCATAAGAATATGAATGCCATAATTGTTTGTGTAAGTTTGCCCTTATAAATCATTTTCATGCATGTTAGTAGCACTGGTCATTATGCGAAACTTTATGAAAAACTGCCTCAGCTAAATCCGAATTATGGCCAATTTCATTGCAATAAATACTGAGTTTTGATTTGAGAACCTTTCTTTATTTGCATGAGCTTTGGTTTCCTGAAATAATATGCATATGTGACTCAATGCAAGATTAAATATCCATTTTTATGTGTAAAAATGTGATTACATTTTTTTTTATAAATATTTAGAAAGAATGTTTTAAACAATACATTTCAGTTCATTTTCAAGTTTACTGTTCAAAATTATTGTAAAATAATATAATTTAGCACACTTTCTGTCCCATACCCAATTTTAGCCACATTGAGAGGTTTCTGTAAAGAAAACAAGTGAAAGAAAATAGTTGCATTGCTATCTAGTTTGTCATGTCATCATGCCAGAATAAATGAAGGTGTGTGAGAGTTGAATATCGCCTGGACAATCATTAGGTATCAGTTGCACGGTTATAAAACTGAATTTGATAAGCATATGGATTGTAAAAACGTTTTTCTGCTGAAACTGAACTTACATAACAAAGTCTGTCACTTTTTCTGTGCCTGCATTGTTGGATCTTTCATAATCAACTTTACTATAGTGCAAACCTATTGAAAACTGCTAATGTCTTCACAAAAATCAATGCATGTTTTTTCTTCTTCTCCAATATCAGGAAAACAGATGACAAACACCGAGCACAGCATGTTGACCAGTTGCCTAGTTTCTATAAAAAGTTATGTTAACAATATTAATTATTAATTTATATTCTGTACTTATGTAAATGGTCTTGTATGTAGCCTAAATATATATGCCAATTACAATACAGAATATGTCTGCTGAGAAAAAAAAATCATCAGGTTTCTTAGAAGTGCTTAGATATAAAATAAATAATTAGATGTAATTCAATATGATGTAAAACAAACTGTATTATGTTCTTTATGCAAAAATGACTCAAGTGTTGGTTACTGCCAGTGGTCATTCACTAGCACTGACTCACAGTATGTATGTATATATATATATATATATATATATGAGTTGTTTTAACAACTGTTTGTTTGATTTCTTTTTTTTCCCAGATTTCAGACAAAATTGCCCAATCCAAGTTGTCATGAATTTTGTCATTAATAATCCTTTTTTAGAAAACTGACCTTTCTAGTATACCAGTATAGTATACCAGTAAGATGGAAACAATAAGCCTTTATTTCTCCCATTTATCCAGCTATGTCTTCATTCTCTTCTTATAAAGGTTCAAAGTTCTAGTCTTGTATTTTAGCGCTCTGTTCTTTAGGATGGTCCCATTCTTATTTCCCTCTCTCTTTCTACACTCAGGGTAGATTCAGCATGCCGTGTTCCTTTAGAGCATCTTCATTTATCTTGTACACTTCTCCTATCGCTCTCACAACCCTGTTCAGTACCACAGTGGCTTCTGCCTGCGTTCCCACACACACCAACTTGTAGAAATAAGGTCGTTCAGGCATAGCAAGAAAGGCCAGCTCCGCTCCTTTTCTCACAAACCAGGTGTGATGGTGGGCCAGTGTGCGCTGGTAAGTCTCTTTGCAGAGGTCAGAAGGGCTACGTAGACGCTCTCCTTCAGTTGCATCCTTCCCTAGTTCCTGCAGGAAGTTTTGCAGCCAGAGCAGAGCGCGGTGTAAGCGTAGAATGGTCCTGCAGCCTGAGTTCGTCTGCTGGTGAAAATCCACTAAACCATTCTCCAACTCCCATTTAATCATAGACCGAACAGATGTGTATCCAAATGAGAGGCTGTGGTTTATTTCAGAGTAGCTAGACGATCTGTTATGAGATGACACTATGACTGTGTCTCCTTGCTGAGTCATTTTTCTGTCTTTCATTTTCTTCTCTGCCTCTTTTTCTGCTTTTTGTGCCAGGTCACGGATGATGGTGGTTTTTGACTCAATTTCTTGTGAAATTAAACCCACCATTGGCCCCAAGGCTTCCAAAAACCTTAAATGCACAGAAAAGAGGAGAGATATTTTGAACATGCATGTTTCTACTTTATTTATGATATTATTAATTAAAGAGTTGCAGTTCTCAGATTTGATTGGCCAGTTGGTGTTGTGAAAAGAGTAGTATGTCCGAATTCATATGGTGTGTCCCAATTCATGTACTTGTGCACTATTTTATACTTCCGTTTTGTAGTATAAAGAGTGTGAGTATGTGTGTTTACAGTGGAAATTCCACAAAAGAAAAAGCACTTAAAATACCCAGATGATACACTTAATTCACCAAAAAAATAAGAGTGAAGTAAGTGTGCAATTTTGGACACTTCATGCACTGTGGCAGCTTTCCTTACAGCTATCAGACACCGATACTGGATGACAAAATAACCGTATCAATTCATACAATAGATGGATGCATGTAGTGCATAGTATAAGTGAATAGTGTATAGTACAGGAGTTCTCAGCTCTGACCCTCAAGGATCACTTTCATGCAGAGTTTTGCTCCAACCCTAATCACCTGAACACAGTAATCAAGGACTTAGGGATTAAGAAAGTTGCAGGTAGGTGAGTTTAATCAAGGTTGGAGCTAAACTCCGCAGGAAAGTGAACCTCTCAAACAAAGTTGAGAAGCCCTGGTTTAGTGTGACATTTGGGGCACAACTAGGCCAATAGTAGCCTATTTATAAAACATTAGGTGAAAAGTACCCGTATGACCTACTACGTCTGGCGAGATTCTGAAGCTTGCATCTGATGGACTCTTTACTATTCCATGAGGCCATGGGAGAGGGGTTGTGAATGGGAGTGAAGTGACACAACTGACGCAGACGCATTGTCACATGACATTGAGACACCAATTTTATACTCATACTAGCTATATAATAGTAGCCTACATACTTTTGTAATGGTACAGAGGTAAGTTCTTCAAATGTACCTACTTTTGCTTTTTAGACGCAGCTAGTAACTCTTTCTGCAAGTTACATTGGTAATCCAGTTGGTGGCGACAAGTGACTTTTGAGTGAGTTGTTGAATCATTAATTTAACCGATTTGTACAACATTGTTTAATTCTGGAACGAAACACCACTAATGCGTGTTGCTCAGAGACATCAGAGACTATTTATATAGAGACATGCCACTTCCCCAATCCTTAATACAACTATATAGGGAAAACCCGTAACGCCAAAGATGGCGGTTGTATGCACATGCCCCGCCCCTCCCGCTGGAAAGCCAATCGTCTGCTTTTAACAGTCAAGCCGGAAAACATTTAAGCCTATCGTCTGGTTCCACTGACGCATGCGCACAGTTGAGGTTTGCGACAGCGGAAAATATGTTACTGTTTGAAAAGGCGGCAGATTTGATGTGTTAGTTGTGTAAATATCAGACATCCCAAGTCTCCCGGAAGTTCCGGGAGTCTCCCGCAGATTGATAGAGGCTCCCTGATGACCGCAAATTAGTTCAAATCTCCCGGAATCTAGAGCGAGCGAGCAGTAGCGCGCGCACGACAGAGAGCGAGAGAACCCTTGCGCATGCGCAGTAAAAGTATAACCTGTGGGGAAAAGGGCGTTTTAAACCTTATTTTGGGGCAAAGTCATCCCACTTTTTCAGCCATTTTTTTCATATTTTATTAGTGTTTGTATACATGCAGTTTTTATGTCCCGGTGACCAGTGAAAGTGCAGTTCTGGGTCTCTGCCCCCGTCATTTAGATAGGAGCCTGGTCTTGTTAGTCCGAAATAGCTGCCCGGAGGCGTTGCCAAGATGGCGGCCGAGTGGCATGACTTGCCTAAAAGGACTTTGGAGACATGCAACGGTTCATGCTTGCTTTGCAACTTGTTGGTAAAAAAAAAAAATGCTCAAAATAATATGTCTAAAATATAAGTTATGCAGTATTAACTTGTTTATTGAAGTTCGTGTTCTTGATCGTGCTGCTCGTATGTTATAGCTTTGGGATATGTAGCATAGCCAGCTATATGATGAGATTATGTCCGTTAACCTACCTGATAAGCTCATCCCAGCTTGCTAGGTACGGCTTTAGCAGCACATCATTGGCAGAGACTGGTGCTGCCTGCAGGTGAGCCAGCAAATAGGCAATTTGAAACCTCTGACCAGGACACACCCTCAGTGGAGCCTCACCTTTATCTGAACTATTAACTATAGCCAAAGATGGAGGCTGAGAAAAGACAAGAGGTGGAAACGTGAGATGGGAGAGTGGTGCAATAAAATGAGTGACAATAAATGGGCAAAGTTCCTGTTATCACGCACAAGCTGAAAATAACTGACAGCTTTGTGTTATATTGTGTTCTCTTTTATATTTTACCATTCTTACCTTGTTTTTTAGGCTATAAGCTATCGAACAAGCACCCCAGTGTTGCTCCAGGTTCCCATCTACAATGAGAGGCAGAGGATGAGAGAATACATTTTTTAAACAGGAAGAGAAAATAAAAAAGTAGCTAATACAGTCAAATCACAGTTTCACAGAGTGTAACTCCCACAGAAACACATTCAGGAGGGATGGGCAAGAGTAGCCTACTCGAACGTAACGATGATCAGTCATGAAAACGAGGATTGCCTGCCCCTGACTTAAAAAAAATATTCTGATTGGTTATTACGGCATCTGTGGTGGTTCCTGCGGTCTGATTTGTTAGCGTTAGCAGCACCCAGACCGGCGAAATAAAGTGAAACTGGATTTGAAAGCGCTCACTGTAGTGATGCCTGGAATCACTTTAATCATGACATAGTTAAGTGCAAAATGTGCAGCGCCAATCTATCATACACAAAACATTATAATGAGAACACGATTGTAATAGAATGTTGTAAATTCTCTGTGATTTCGTTTTTACAGCGTGCTATTAATGGAAGAGCGTGTCCACACCACACATCACGATCAAGATCATGTGCACATTCACGTCCTTTTGTGCATAATGTAAGTTGAAAGATTACTTTTATGATGTCAATATCTGAATAATCTCAAATATAAGACACGTTTGATTGAGTTTAATAACCAGCTATCAAAAAGTGTTCATTCTCTCTTCAGTGTCAGCTCAAATGCAATGTCCGACATTATTGACTATGATTGGGTAAATTGAGACAGTCATATTCCTTTTAGATAGGCTATTTCATTGATGATATGCAGCCGTGTTATTTCAAAAATTTTAACAGTAAGTCTATGTTTTATTTAAAGTTGTTTCTCATTATGCAAAAACGCTCAGTGATGACTAATCACTTTCTATCATGAAAAATAAAATTAAGTGCAATATGTGCAGCACCAATATACATGCAATCTGTGCTTTGCCCGTGTATCTGCGCGCTGGAAGAGCGCATCCAGAGTTGATCCCTTTCAAACCATAGACTGTAAAAAACTAGTCCACATGCGCATTTGCGTCCTTTTGTGCAGATGCAAGTTGTAATGTTACGTGTAGCCTATGTTATGTATCTAGGATTATTAATCTCATAGGATGTGTCATAGAATGTGCTTTAGTTTACTGGAGATCATTTAAAGGTGCAGTGTGTAGATTTTAGCGGCATCTAACGGTTCGGTTGCGAGTTGCAGTAAGGGCTCAGCCCACTGCTCACCCCTCCCTTTCGAAGAAGCTACAGTTGCTAAAACTGGACAAACATATCGTCGTCTGAGACAGCAGAGAATAGCCAGAGTAAGCCAAGTTTCTGTACCACAGTCCATTATAAACCACATCATGGATAAAGTTTACAAAGCCATAGTCAGGTGAGGATCAAGGTTCTTAATATATAATATAATAATAGTAATCAGGTGATTGTCTCACGAACGTAACCAGCACATTTCTCCCCACATAGCAAACCCATAATAGTCTACAGTGAGGGAGAAGAACCACATGAAACTATCCAACTACATATTTTTTCTAATAGCATAGTAAAAGTTTAGTTGGCTAATATGAGGGCTGTGGCTGAGCAGGTTAAAGCGTAAAGCATTGTTTATACTCGACGCGTCCGCATTAGCGCAAAGGTGCGCGCGGCAAAAATGACGTGATTGTAACAGTGTGCGTGCCTCCACACCCCCGAATTAATAAATAATAATGAATAAAAATATTGTTTTTTTTCTCTGGTTTTGAAAACTCTTCGCGATCGACTTAAAATGCTTCCAAGATCGACTTGTTGACCGCGATCGACGGGTTGGTGACTCCTGTAACGTTACTGTTTTACAGTCAATAGTACTAATCAGCTGATTGTCAAAGCCATAACACAGCGAGGGAGAAGAACTCAGTTACATGAAACAATCCAACTACATATTTTACACCACTGACAAGGGAAAAGTCACTACTCACGGTGTCTATGGCTAGCTTCTAGCTTTCTGCGGCTTCTCTTTCAAGGTAGTGACGAAACGCAGTCTGTAGCGCTGTTCGTTCGCTGTCGGCTACAGTAGAAACATGACGTCACAATATGTCGACCTTCATAGAAGGGGGTGCCCGCGGTATGTAGATATAAATGTCTAATTCTAAGGTAATAAAAACATAACGGTTCATTGAGTAAGGTCTTTATACACCACTGAACACATAGTTATGGATCTTATATTGCATTTCTGTCAATAGATCCTCAGAAATATTACACATTGCACCTTTAAGCTTCAACTTTACCTCAAGTAGCTATTCCTTTCAGATGTTTCTTTTCCGATAACATTCATAGCAGTGATATATGTTCATGTTTTAATAGAGACACGTTTTCCTGTCATTTTTTTATTTGGCAACATTAATTTTCGTTAATAGTCTTAAAATATTTTAATTTTCATGAGAGACACGCCCACCTTCCGAGTTGTAGCCTACTTGAGGCCTACTTGTTTTTTGAGACCTGTCAATGATCAAAATGTTGACAAAAATGCCCATCCCTATATCCTAGAGGTCTATAAACTGTAGCTATCACTGACTTGCATGAGATAAAGTAATCAATTGTAAATATTTATCTGAATATTAAAGGAATAGTTACCTCCAAAATAATAATACAAAACCTGTCATCTTTTACTCATCCTTATGCCATTTTAAACATAATGACTTACTTTTTTTTCATGGAAAACAAAATTACCTCTGAGACCTTGTTGTGAGTTGAACTTGAGAACTAAATAATTTCGTGATCGATCATTAAAAGATCAGACTCAACAAAGTAAAATTACATTTTAAAGTTAAATTCATAAATCTGGCACTTCTCTTTGCGCAGTGGAGTCAGACAGTCTTTTGATAAGGACACATAGCCTTATCATCACGCTTTGATTTTAGTTTGTTTGACAGCAATGGTGCAAAACACGACATTAAAGACCTTTTATGTTTTTATGGGAAGTTTAAATATACTTTCTGGCTGTCACAGTCTAGTTAATGAATGGGAAGCACTGAAATGTATTTGTGGTGGTCAATGTTGATATTGTGGCGAGTCGCCAGTCTCGCCACTGATAAATCAGTATGGGAAACACTGCAGCTACTTCTTTCATGAACACATATTTAAGATACAAAATAAGATAAAATATATTTTCAGCATCTGTTCATTGATGAGTGCATTGTAAAAAAATATGATCATGATGATGAGTCATGACAACGTTTTTACATTAACATTAAAATAATTTTAGCAATTTCAACCTGTAATACAAGATTCAACTCAATTTAAGTCAGCTTAATATAATTTAAGTTGAAATTACTTGAAAATTATACTAAAAAATGCAAGGTAGCTGAACTTAAGTTTAACTTTACAGTGTGATGGTCAATCAGCTCTGCTAACAGTCATACAGAGGGACAAGTATAACTCAATATCAACAAAACAAAATGATATTGACAATTGTAATTACATATTGATGTAATTACAAGCTTCGTTAAAATGAAAAGAAAACAATACTTCAAAAAAGAAAATCTATTAACCTGACCCCAGCTTTGGTGTGCAATAAAATCTGGCCTAAACCAATTGTACATGCATGCACGAAATATATTACATCGAGTCTGCTGAAGAACAAATCAGAAAAAAATATGGAAAAACTTACGTATCCACATGGAGCCAAGCAAAAGGAGGATGAAGACAATAGCAACACAAGCCCTGAATTTGACTCCCATAATGATCCACTGTCCTCCTCTCCGCTGCGTCTCCTCGGGTGGCCTCTCTTTCCTTCTCAGTCTATTCACTCACACTCTCTCCTCAGCATCTCTACACCACCACCACCACTGCGCTTAGTACCTTTCTTCTCTTACACAGTGTGTTTTTGATTGTTTCAATCTTCGCTAAAACTCAAATTGCCTGGTGAATCCTCACTCTCATGTTTTTACACTACTGCAGACGCAAATTCTATGTAACTTCCTGTTTTGTGTTACTCCTCTCTTTCTGCATCTCCTGTTTAATCCACCAGCCTAACTTATGCTAAGTTGTTTTTTTCATTATGTTGTTTTTCTTTCTCTCATCTCCTGTCCTGCTCTCTCTGTATTGTCAGTCTCCAATGATGTTGCTCAATCTGAGAGTCCATAGATTAGTCAGGAACAACAAATCACTCCTTATTAGGCAAGCCCTAAGCAAACTGTAGTAACCTTTACACCAACATGTACAGGCGCTACACACTTGTACAACGCGTGTCACAAAAAAATTGTGAAATCCTTAAATCCGCAAGGGAAGGTCCTGGTTTTTATTTGTCCAATATGTGCATCTCTCAACGAAAGAGAGAGAGAGAGGGAGAGATTTCTTTCTTCGACAGAAAATAAGGACTGTTTGAAAGATTCAAATGTCTCATTCAAATGTTGAATTTAAATGAGTCACATTCAAATGTTCTGGTTAGGCAGCTAAATAATGTTGTTGGTTTTTATTCTTTAATTACCTTCAATTCATATATTTGTATCCTTTCAGTGAAGCTGACACACTTTCCAAAGAGACCATGATGATTGTAAATTTAGAATGGCATTGTCATACAATTCAACCAATGTTAATCAAGTCAACACTGGACAGTCACTCTGACTTGAAATGTCAGTGGGCACCTTAAAAAAAAGCTGTCATGCCATAAAAACCTCACCACACTGGTTTGAAAGCTTTTCTCAGGATGTAATTTTTTGTCAATTAATTTGAAAGTTGCATTCAAAAGGGAGGGCTAAGATAATACACTCAGCTGAAAATTGCATTTTTAAGATCACTTATCTGTTTTAAAAATCCATTCAAAAATGTGATGACGTCACATAATAGCAGAATGCTAGCGTGTTCCGGCCAACAACGGCCCAACCTGTAAGAAATCGAAAGGACATAAGTAATCGTTCATTCGACTTTTGGCCTATAATCTATATTGAACTTGCGGAATCAACAATAAAATCTATGTTGATTCAACGACAAGCAGGAGAAAGAGATACATTTAGCCGTTTAGCTCTATTAACTATTAGTTCATTCTGCACTCGCCCGCGATCACCTCCAGTGGAATTCTAATGGAACTGCAACCAATATGATACACAATGGGGCTAATAGGAAGTGCCAAGGCTCTCCGTTAGACGGGCTCTGGCTCGCTCGACTGCAGAATCCAGCACGTGCGCCTTGCGCTCGCGAGAGTTTTTGGACATATGTCAGCATGACAGATCAGAGCAAGGCTGACCGACCCATAGATATCCATAATAAAGGCTAGATGTCTCGTCCGCGCTGCTGGCCAATGGAGGTCGACGTCCGCACCTGGCGGCCATCTTGTCACAGGTAGCTCGCTCACTCGTAACATTGTGTTTTAATGGTGCATGTACTTTTTAAATAACCATAACTTGCTCAATTTTCTACCGATTTTCAAACGGTTTGGTTTGCTATAAACGTCAGACATGTAGTTATGACAGTGGCAGTGCACACTTATGAATAATAAGTGTATCAATAAAAAAACATCCAGAATTATAGCCATGTTAATAACGTTTGTAAGAAACCAAACCGTTTGTAAATCCGTCAAGATTTCAACGAGATAAGAGTATTTGTGTTGGTGCTGATCACTCATCTTACATCAGGTACCACAGAGCCCGCCAGAAAGCTTGCCTGTGACAAGATGGCCACCGGTGGTGACGATAGAGACTCCACCGTAAGACATCTAGCCTTTATTATGGATATCTATGGACCGACCGCTCTGACACATTTCTAACTGGCATGCATCTTGCGCTGATCACCGTTGATCGGTTCTGCGCAGATTTTGCTCATCTCAAACAAGCCTATAGTCATATTTTTTAAGGGGTGGTTGCTTAAAGGCTTGTCAGCAAACGGCTACTGTTTGATTGGCTAACGTCATTGCACAGGAAACAAAAGACTTGTTAGAGATGAGAAAAATCTGCGCAGAACCGATCACCGGTGATCACCGCGAGATGCATGCTGGTTAGAAATGTGTCCAAGTGCGGTCCGTCCAAGGGGGTAATCTCCATGGTAATCCCAAGGGGGTAATCCATCAGCCGGAAACTGAAGCTTCCTCTGGGGGCCACCGTTGTAGCAGACCATCACCTGCTGTTAGCATTCCATTGACTCCCATTCTATTTGGCGTCACTTTGACAGCGAATAACTTTACATCTGAGGCGTCCAAAGACTCCATTTGTCCATTATTAATTTCTAAAGAAACACCACAATGTATAAAAGGCTCCAACGATTGCGTCATAACCTCTCTGTCTATGAGGCAATTGGGGGGACATGGAGGCATAAAGTCAAGGGAGAAGCCCATAGATAGAGAGTCCATAAAAGCAACGGGACAAAATATTTAAACAACGGATTTGTTTCAGATTTCAATTCAGATTCCTCTTGGCACAGCTACTAGAAGACTTACAACTGTCAGACAGGTTGCTCACGTCACATCTATGTCGTCAAGCTCAGTTTGAACCTGCATGCGGTTCGCTCAGCCATCAGGAAGTGAGTGCTTCTAATCAAGGGGGTAATCCATCAGCCGGAAGTTAAAGCTGCCTCCGGGGGCCGCCATTGTAGCTGGCTATCACCTGCTGTTAGCATCCCATTGACTCCCATTCATTTTGGCGTCACTTTGACAGTGAATAACTTTACATCTGAGGCGTCCAAAGACTCAATTTGTCCATTGTTTATTTCTAAAGAAACACGACAATGTATAAAAGGCTCCATTACTTTGTATCTTACGTTATGGCCCCGTAGAAGCCATTCTTGTAAAAATAGGCTAACGATTGCGTCATAACCACGGGACGCTCTGTCGCACAGTAGAGAAATTACCGTATAGACAGAAGTAGAAGCTCGTAGGCAATCGTTTACTGTCTATGAGGCAATCGGGTGGACATGGAGGCATAAAGTCAAGGGAGAAGCCCATAGATAGAGAGTTCATAAAAGCAACGGGACAAAATATTTCAACAACAGATTTGTTTCAGATTTCAATTCAGATTTGTCCCGACACAGCTACTAGAAGGTCAGAACGGTTGCTCACGTGACAACTACGTCGTCAAGCTCAGTTTGAGCCTGCGCAGTGCGCTTGGCTATCAGTAAGGGAGTGCCCATGTTGGGCTTCAACTCTCTCCGTTGAAATCAACGGGGTCGCTGTGTCCATTTCTTTTACTGTCTATGCTTCTAATCAGTAAAAGAAATGGACACAGCGACCCCATTGATTTCAACAGAGAAAATTGAAGCCCGTTAAAAGCTGATCGCCTGGCGTACTGCGCAGGCTCAAACTGAGCCTGTCACGTGAGCAACCTGTATGTCTTCTAGTAGCTTTTTCAAGTGAAATCTGAATAATTCCCTTCCAAATCTCACAGAGACGGAGAGAGTGAGTATTAGCTGTCCATGAGCTAGCAGCAGGATCAACTTTATGACTCTCTATGGGCTTCTCCCTTGACTTTATGCCTCCACGTCCACCCGATTGCCTGCAAGCCTCTCCTCCTGTCTATACGGTAATTTTTCTACTGTGCGACGGAGAGTCGGTTCGTTATGACGCAATCGTTAGCCTATTTTTACAAAAACTGCTTCTACGGGGCCATAACGTAAGATACAAGGTAATGGAGCCTTTTATACATTGTGGTGTTTCTTTAGAAATAAATAATGGACAAATGGAGTCTTTGGATGCCTCAGATGTAAAGTTATTCGCTGTCAAAGTGACGCCAAAATGAATGGGAGTCAATGGAATGCTAACAGCAGGTGATAGTCTGCTACAATGGCAGCCCCCCCGGGAGGCTTCAGTTTCCGGCGGATGGATTACCCGCTTGGAGGCAAGGCGCATCTCAAACAAGCCTATTTGCATGCTTAGCTCAATTGGCCAGCTGTCCCCAGCTGGCGTTAGCCCATAAGATTTCAGCGAAAGTGGACAAAGGTAGAGTTCCCATATAGGCCTACGTCACAGCTGACATAATGTTGAGTTACCCCCTTGAAAGGGAACTCGTGTCAAGTAACGTATATCTTCGTGTAAACGTACCATCAGTCTCCAAATTCGCTCACACGTTTTCATTTACTCCAAGTGAACTAATGGACTTTTGACACAAAACTGAAGGAAAATTGACTCAAATGTAGAATGAATCGAATGAACTGTTTTAACAGATTTCCCAACAATATTTTGAAGATCATATAATCTAACTAAGACTTTTTTCCCCAATCTCCGAAGTGGGCTACCACAATAATTTCAAGAACACATACAGCAGTGGTTCTAGGGGCCCACTAGGGGTCCTTAAACAACCAAGGGGGCTGCAGGATGACTTAAGGTATTTAACTTTACTAGTTATTATTTATATAAATAATATAACTATAATCTAAATTAAAATGCAAAAAATAGACAAAATCAAGATGTAAACTGCAATATATTTCTTTTAAATAACTACTGTTTTTACTTAAATAAACATCCAATTCTTGAAATTTCTGGAATCACAAAATGATGGTTAATAATTGAATACATCAATAAAACCAAAGCTAAGTGCAAGTTGTTCTTGCTGTATCTAAAGTGCTGCAAAGAACCATTGAAAAACCTTTGAGTGTAGCAGAGCTACCCCTGCTGGACTATTTTTAATTTATTTATTTATTACTTAAAGAATAAATGTGTAATTGAGGAGCAGGTATGCAAGCAACCCTTGTATCTACCAACATTTGTGCAGGAGGCTTTTCACCTAACAATTTGGGATGTTTGCTACATGCTAATGGTGAGATTAATCCAATATGATCAATACATTTTGGTAAGACACATTTAGAAAATGAAGTCAAAAAGTCACTGCTCATGACACTTATCACATGCATCTTTGACATTCTCATTTGGCAAAGACAGTGTGTCACGTTTCCCTGGATGTGGAGCTTCCGGTTGCCCACATAGAACATGGTTCAATTTCAGGTCATATTAATAGTACACAAAGGAGACAGGAATTCATGCTCCGGTAAACCCACCAACAAGCTTTGCAATCCAGTAATACTTAAGCTCATGTACCTTGTACCACTTAAGCCCAGTGGCCAGCAACTGGCCAAGCAATGCGTCGATGCCAGTTGGCTCATACAGAATGTAAATAAAACAAAAATACATGAAATAAACAACATGATTCCATAATCTAATTTAAATGGCATCAAAGAGCCAGACCTCTCATGTTATTCAAGTCTGTGTGCATATGATTATTTAAACACCTTGCAGTAAAGCATGGTGGCTATTT